CTAGTTTTTCTTAGTTTGAGAGTTTCATTAAAACATGTTCAGCATTATAACATGCAAATCTCCATTGACAGCTGTGTCATGGCTGCTTATGAGGTGCATTGTCAGGAAATTGGAATTTGATCTTCCACGCAAACCAACTTGTTATCATAGAGTCGATTTTACTCATAGCAGTCTATATGACAGAGTAAAACTGACTCATAGGATTTCCAATGGTTCCATCTCCTGGTGACCCTGTGCAGGTTTCCAAGGAGTGGCTGGTGGGTTTGAACCACTGGCCTTGAGGTTAGCAGTCCAGTGCTTATCCTGCAGTGTCACACCAGGACTAGGTCAGGATTGCTTAGAGTGTACACCACTTGGGACCTATGAAGCTTGGCTCCTTGGAGAATGTTGTTTAGGCTGGGGGTATAAACTGGAGATATTTTGTAATTTAAACTCTCCCTGCCGTAACAGGAACTTTGTGACCCTCACTTAGCTGAGCATACATCTGTTTGGGGCAAGAGCTGCCTATATTATGCAGGAAGGCAGGTCCTGGGTTGCCAATAGCCCTCGACATCCCAGATCTCTGTGTTTCACCTAAATGCTTTGATGTTATTATATCTTTGTAGCATTTAGTAAAAGCTTGATATACTAGGTAAGATTATTGTTACAGATAACAACTCCATCCTGAGTGTTAGCTCAAACCTTATCTTGTAATTTAATGTCTAAAACCTTTGAATAATTTAAATTAAGCAAATAGTTTTTTCATGTAGGCATGGATTTTGTTCCTCAAATTCATTTCTACTTTGATGGGTACTCTGAAAGGATTTCCATAGAACTGTGCTAAGGGTCTGGATCTATCTACAAAGGCCTGAGCCAAATCCATTTCTGCCTAGTTAGTTCAAAGGAACACTGTAGGGCTGAGTAGAACTGCACCATTGGATTTCCAAGGCTATCTTTATGGAAGCTGGCTGCCTCATCTTTTTGTCATTCGGTGGCCAGTGGGTTTGAACCCCTAGCCTGGCTGTTAGAAGCTGAGCAGTTTATCAGTGAACCGCTAGAGCTTCTACTGAAAAGCCTGAAACACCTGTTAAAAGGGCCTCTTGTTGTGACTACAGAACACAGTCATATTTTCTACAAAGTTCCATTGATCATTGTTGACTCATGATGACCTCATGTATGTCAGAGTAGAACTGGGCCCTATTGGGTTTTCAGTATCTTTTTGGAAGTGGACCACTAGTACTTTCTTTTGAAATACCTTTAGGTGGACTTGACCCTCCCACCTTTCAGTTAGCAGTGGAATATGTTACAGTTTCACCATGCAGGGACTCCAGAAGTAAAATTTGGTTGGTGGGTTATGTGCCATGGAGTTGGTTCCGACTCATAGCGACCCTGTATAGAGTATCTGAGGCTGTAAAACTTTATGGGAGCAGAAAGTCTCATCTTTCTCCCGTGAAAGAACTGGTAGTTTTGAACTGCTGATCTTGAGGTTAGCAGCCCAACATGTAACCACTACTGTCTACAGAAGCTAAACCCCAGTGTGATTCCCAGTGTTTGTGAACTAAGAGGGTGGGGAGCAGGGAATAAGTTTCTCATTAGTGAGCTAAAATTTAAGTATAGAAAAATACAATGTATACCAAGTGAAGGATAATGCTCTAATAATTTTGTTTTTGCTTACTTATTTTATTTTACAAGTGGTAAAGGGAGAGAGAAACCAACAGAGAAGGCAAAATCCCAGTACCACTAAAAAATAAAAACTGAGAGAACACTACCTACAAACCTAGAGTCCCTGTGCTGAGAACCTCTTAGACCCAGGGGAAGACTGATGCCAACATTTATGGAGTTCTCCAGGGCATGCTAGACCCACAGATGTTGGAAGGAGCTGACAGAGAAAGCCTTCCCCTAGAACTGGGTGCTGGTTTCAGACTTCTAGCTTCCTAAGTTATGAGAAAATAAATTAGTGTTTGTTAAAGCCATCACATCTGTTCTTTCTGTTGTTGCAGCACTAGATAACTAAGACAGTGGTGATGGTAGTGGTTATATTAAGGAGGAAAACAGACATCTAAAAGCCATTTTGCATTCAGTAGGGCATGGTAACTGAGCTGATACCAAGGGAAATGGTGGCAAGCACAGCAGGGCACATTGGCAGAAAAGTTATAGCAAGCACAGTAAAGTCAAATGGTGTGAATGCTCGGACCCACAAAACTGGCAGATGGCAGCAGTGAGGGAGTTGGCCCACAAGCAGAACTGAACACCTCTGGGCAGAAGGTTGCTAATGGAGCTAGAAATCTCTGGACAGGAGGTCACCAGCAAAGATGGATGCCCCATAAAGAGAAGACCAAGAGGTTGCCTGCAGAAACTTGGGCTTACATCATTCCCTATAAAACACTTCAGTCTGTCTTCCTGAGAGCTGTTGTAATGCTTGCCTAACCCTGGCATGGGCCCAGGGTCAGAGCCAGCCAAGAAAAGCTGTGGAGAAAGAAGGTATAAAGTAAATGAACACAGCTTCACCTGACCTGGTGACACCTGTTGAGAGAGACATATTTTCTAATACCTGATCCATAGTGTGCCTGCCCAGGCAAACAAAAATTGTTGTTGTTAGATGTCATTGTGTTGATTTCGACTCATAGTGACCCCATGTGACTAAGTAGACCAGCCCCATAGGGTTCTATTGGCTGTGATCTTTATGCAAACACAACTCTAGGTCTTTTTCCCACAGCACTGTGTCTTGGGTTGGGATCTCTAACCTTTAGGTAGCAGTTGAATGTTTGAACATTATTTCACCCGGGCTTCTTGACACAGAAATGGACATGAGTAATTTGGCAGATGTCACATTTAGAACTAAGGTGTGCCTCACCCTTGCCATTGTATTTTCAATCCCTTCATATGCATGTGGAAACTTAACAGTGAATAAGGTAGACCAGAGAAAAATCGATGTATTTGAATTATGGTGTTGGCGAAGAATAGTGAAATCATCATGAACTGCCAGAAGAACAAAACAAATCTGTTTTGGAAGAAGTGTATGTAGCCAGAATGCTCCTTAGCGGCAGGGATGGTGAGATTTTGTCTCTTTTACTTTGGACATGTTTTCAGAAGCACCAGTCCTAGGAGAAGAATATGATGCTTGGTAAAATAGAGGGTCAGTGAAAAAGAGGAAGACGCTCAAGGAGTTGAACTGACTCAGTGGCTGCAGTAGTGAGCTGAAACATAGCCGTGATTGTGAGGACAGCATAGGGCTGCGCAGTGCTTCGTTCTATTATATGGGTCTTTCTGAGCCAGAATCAAGTTCACAGCACCTAACAACATAGTAAGTTAGGAAGTTAAGTGGATCACCTTTATACATCAGTGGGTTTTTCTTCTATGAAGCTAAGTGGGCTACTCATAAATGGAGGGGACTGACTCACTTCAAATTTATTGCTGTTTACTGTTTGCCTTCCATAAATAATGATAGCAGTGTTTTTCAGTTGTCAAATTTTGTAAAGCATCTTTTTAGTGCCACCTAATCCAATTGGATAATGGAGTCCTAACTCTACTTCACATTTACTTGGGATGTGGAGTACAGCCTATGTGTATATGTACATATGTATTCACGGACATGCAGGGACCAAAACAGGGATGGAGTAGTTTAAGTGTAGGCACCCAAACTTGGCAATGAGGTGAGTATATACTTGTTGCCCTCCCAACTCCCACTTTTTGGTTGTATTTATAACCAAGCATGGAGTCCTGGTGTGGCACTGTAGTATTAGTACTGTACTAACTCCTCTGAGTCGGAATCAACTCGATGGCACTGAACAACAGCTCACTGCAAAGTCGGTGGTTCAGACTCACCACCTCTACACAAGATCACTATGAGTCGGAACCGACTCCACAGCACTTAACAAAAACAATATAATCAAACATAACCACTGTTTTCTGATAGTGTGCCTCATCTCTGGCTGCACATTGTAGTTACCTAGAGAGCTTTTAAAAATATATCAGTGCCCAGTTAACATGATTAAGAATCTGAATCAAATCAGATTTTCAAAAAATTCCTCCCAGATAATTCTGTTGCAAACACAAAGAGGGTGAAAATCATTGATCTAATGCTTTGAACTAACTGATTAGGAACAGTTAAAGATATTGGATAAGGTGACCCACCATCTTGATTTGCTTGGGACTGTCCCTGTTTTATCACTGAAAATCCTGCATCCTGAAAATCCCCTGCCTAAGATGCAAGAAATACTATACGTGTTATATTTTGGAGGTAGAACAATTTCCTATGGTGTATACTCATAATTCCAATTTAATGGGAAGTGTTGAAGCAACTCCATTACCTAGCAAGTTTAAAGTATATTAGATCATTAGAATGTATATATTTTTTCTCTCATGTTAACTCTACTATGATTTTTCCTATAAAATTGGAAGAATATACTAGGCATTATGTTTCTAAGTTTTAAAAAGCCTCAAAAGTATGCATTTTTGTTTAAGGAACTTTTGATTATAGCAAATTCATTTGTCTGATCAAATATAATAAGTAAGATTTGGCATGTGTGTTTTGTTTGTCAGATAGGCATCTGTTCATACACTTACATATTGGTATTTAGGGTATTATTAAATACACATTTGAAATTTCTATTTAATAATGTTTATAAAAATAAATTCCTGTCGGGCATCTAATTCTATATAATTCCTTCTGAAATTCTCAATATTTTGTGATCATTCTTTCTGCAGTAATTTGGGAATGCTACTACTAATGGTTATTTGTAACATTCATAAACTCAACTTGAGACAACTATTTGAAAATCATTTAAGTAGAATATTGTTTACAATGTGCTGTCTTTTCAAAATACTATAGAATTTCAAGAATATTTCTAGCTCTTCAAAAAGAATATGTGTACAAAGGTAGAAATTTCTTGGTTTATTTTGATATTGAGTATCATTTCATGCTGAAAAGTTTTATTTTATGCTGCATGTTCCTTCAATAATTGGAGTTTAAAATAAGAATGCTAATCTCTGATTATTGTGTCTTTATGTTTTTTATCCAGAACTATGGAGTGCTGGCATACGTTGGGAATTTCCGCCTGATGGCAGAGCTTTCCAGTCCATTTGTAAATCAGCGGTAGGTAACCAGTATCCTTCATTATTTTAAAGTTGTGGTTTTCGGGGTTTTTTTTAAGGGGACATGTTTCCATGGTTCTAAAGTTACTATAAAGGAGCTCTGGTAGTGTAGTGGTTCCAAATCGGGCTGTGAACCTCAAGGTCAGCAGTTTGAAACTACCAGCTGTTCCTCTGGTACAGAAAGATGAGGCTTTCTGCTTCTGTAAAAATTTACAGCCTCAGAAACCCTGTACAGGGTCACTATGAGTTGGTTCTGACTCCACAGCACATAACCACCACCACCACCACCAAAGTTACTATAAGGAACTCTGGTAGCGTAGTGATTACGAGTCATGCTGCTAATCTCACAGTCAGCAGTTAGAAACTATCAGTGGTTCAATGGGAAAAAAAGATGAGGCATTCTGCTCCCGTTAAGATTTACATAGTCTGAATGGGTAAAAGTGGGGAAATAATGTTAAGATGCTCGACTGTCTTATGGCTATTAGTTTCCCTTACCTATTATTGTAAAATAGACACTTGATTGGGATAGAAAGAAATATTGGCAAACATGATTACAGAAGGCTTGTAAGCCTGTCTTCAGCCTGTTGCTGATTGGAATACCTGAAAGGGGTTCTAGAACTTGCCCAGTAAAATAGACTTCTTGGGGAGTCTTTGTAGTGTATAGGACCTTAGGTGATATCCTGAGCCCCATCTAGAACTTTCTGAGGTGGGACATTCCCACTTGAAAGGACATGCAGACCAGCCTGGAGCAGGTAGAGGAACAGAAGATACTTCTTGAAAGAAAGACCAGCAGGAAAAAAACCAAACAAAAACAGCAGTCTGTTTGGCTATTACAAGAACAAACAAACTATTTGTTTGGGAGCCATTAAGGCAAGCCATGAAGTCCCTTCAGGATAAACCCCCTTCCAAGACTTCAAAGGGAACACATGAGCAGGTATGTAAGCTTACTGGTAACCACACTGGTCTACTTGTGAGTGGAGGTGGGGGAAAGGCAGTAATGAAGACATGAACTGAGTTCTACTATATTTCATGTACTATCAACCTTGAAGTGAGAGAGAGAGAAGAGGAAGGTCTGGTTGGTCCTAAGTTTTAGGAGACTTGGGAACTTCTGAGCCCATAGACATTGACCTAGCCATGGTGGACTAGAACTGAGAGTGAAGCATCCAGCTGATATGAAGTGAGGGGGAGGCACACAAGAACACCAAATTTGCAGATAGTACCCATTTGACTTAGCTTCAATGGCTTGGTGATCAGAACTCAACTAGAGGAAGATAAAGAAATTTGATACAGGAAGCAAGTGTAAAGTGCTACAATTTGATGAACTTGGACCTTTACTGATGGTTGTGGTGTAGCTCAAAATACCAACCAAGAGGGAAGGAGTCTTCATATTAAGGATCAAACCTATCCCCTCTGTACACAGTGTTGATAGGGATGGGCAAATCACACACTGGCTACCTAAAATGCAGAGGTGGGGGGTATAAAGGCATGAAGTGGCTGGCTTACAAGTTTTTAAGAGGGATTTTAGCTTCAGAGTGAGTGGGGGAAGGTAAAATCCCCACTGAATAGTTTTCATCTTGTCTAGATGGGTCTGGGAGAAGGAAATGGGGATAGTATTCTTTTAATTCAGTAGTGAGTAATTGTTATCATGACCAATTGCGATTGTCACAACTATAAAGGTAGAAGTTTTGTAATAAAAATGTGGGGAGTAGCTAATCTTACATTCCAGGAACAGAGGAACCTAGGACCATCAAGAGAGAGAAGAACAAGAGCAGAACATGGGATCCTAACCAGAAAAGCAATAATACCAGTGGATGGAGGCAGAGGTGATGGCATGGAGACATTGAGCAGCTGAGGACTCTAGAATCATGGAAAGAGAAAGGCTGTGTGCTGGTAGCCAGGAGGCAGGCTTGCAGAATGTGCCTTTTGGTTGTTTAAATGATTGTATTTTCCCAAGTGTTTTTGTGTACATCAAAAACAAAAACAAGGGAGTAGAGGTAAATACTGTTAAATGGTGCATGGAGGGGATTGTAATCATTGCAACGAAACAAAATATGATTGGTTGAGTGCAAAACTGATATTCTCCCTTGTAAACTATCACTCAATTCACAATACAAGTTTAAAAAAAAGATTCACAGCCTTGGAAACCCTTTACAGGGTCACTATGAGTTAGAATCGACTCCAAGGCACATAACCACCACCACCAAAGTTGCTATACAAAAAATGAACATACATGATACAAATTATTAGCAGCATTATACAAATGCAGAAATTGAGGCTTGGAAAAATTGCAGTAACTTTTCCAGACTCCCTAGCTAGTAACTGGTGGTGGTGGTGATGGCTATGTGCTATTGAGTCAGTTCCAACTCTTGCTGTTGTTGTGGTTAAGTCCTTTTGAGTATGTTCCCCCCCTCACTAGCCCTATGTAGGGTTTCTGAGGAGAAGCTGATGATCCTGAACCTCTGACTCATAGTGACCCTGTATAAAGTTACTGAAGCTGTAAATCTTCACAGGAAGAGAAAGCCTCATCTTTCTCCCTTGGAGCAGCTGATAGCTCCAAACTGCTGACTTCGTGGTTAGCAGCCCAACTCATAACCCACTATGCTACCAGAGCTCCTTAGTAACTGGCAGTACTAGCCTTTTAACCCAGTTGTCTATACAGCATGACAATGTCTAATGTTTTATTCCAGGACATTCTTACACCTCTTTGATGTATGCTGTAGGATGAATTGTATTCTCTGAATTTTAAGATTCATTGAGGATTTTTATGGGAAAGAACATAGTTTATTCCAGTTCATCTTGGGGTCTTTCATACTCCTGAATTCAACTTCCTCCTTTCCCAAAATCTGTTATCAGTATTCTCTTGTTGTTCTTGTTAAGTGCTGCCAAGTCAGTTCTGACTCATAGCAACCCTATGGGGTTTCCAAGCAGCTGGTGAGTTTGAACTGCCGACCTTGTGGTTCCGTGCATGATCCCACAGTGTCACACCAGGGCTCCCAATATTCTCGTAACCCCTCACTTTTTAAAATAAAATTTTAATTTTAGATGCACAAAAGATTTGCAAAGTTAGCACAGAGAGTTACATATACCCCTCACCTGGTTTTCCCTAAAGAAACCCTAGTATCATAGTGATATCCTAGTATCACTCAGCTGTTAACCAAAAGGGCAGTGATTCAAACTCACCAGCCACTCTCTGGGAGAAAGCTGTAGCCATAATGTATAAGATAGCCAAAGAATACAACTTTGGAAACTCTATGAGGCAGGTCTAATTTATCCTGTAGGGTCGCTATGAGTTGGCATTGACTTGATGGCAGTGGGTTTGGTTTGGAATTTCCCCCATACCTTTTCCTCACTCATTGATGTGGCTAGGTTCCAAAGGCCGGGTTGTTAACGTGAAATTGGAGTTATGCAAAAATGGAGAATGACCACATAAAATCACAAGAAGAATGATTTCATCATTACAAAACTACCAAATTACTTCATCACTTACCTGCCAAACCACCAAGAATAGTGGCCCAGGCAAGTTGACACATAACCTTAACCATCACAGCCAGTTAGTTACTCTTACCTCACAACTTGGCATTCCTTACTGTCAGACATGTCTCAGTTGTACACAAAATTGTCAGATAGTAGATTTTTTATTCTAGTCATAAATATGAAATGTTAGATGATAAGAGAAGAGAGGTGTCTTTTTTTGCAGCTTACATTACAGCAACAATATTACCATGGGATAGTTGTCAAAACTAAGAAACCAGCATTATTACTTGGATAAATTACTTCCTGTTGAATTCCAAACTTTATTGGATTTACCACCTCCATGAGTATGGGTCAGGTTCATCAAATTGTAGCAATTTACCCTTGTTTCCTTTATCAAAAAACTTTTTTTTTTTTAAATCTTCCTCTAGTCGAATTCTGATTATCAAGCCATCGAGGCTAAGTCAAATGGGTACTATCTGCAGTTTTGGGTGTTCTTGTGCATCTCTCCTCACTTAATATCAGCTGGATGCTTCACTCTCAGCTCTAGCCCTCTTTGGCTATGTCGTTTTCCATGGGCTCAAAGTGCCCCAGCTCTCACCACACTTTGAAACAACCAGCCCTTCCTCTTCTCTCCCTCATCTCCAGGTCAACAGGAGTCAATGGAATGTTGTTGAACTCAGCCCATTTCTTCATTGCTGCCTTTCCCCCTCTTTCACTCACCAGTAGACCAATGTGGTCACCAGCAAGCTTACAAGCCTATTCATGTGTTCTCTTTGAGTGTCAGTCTTAGAGGGGAGTTTGTCCTGAAGGAACTTGATTGCTTGCCATGATATCTTCCTGGTGAAAAGCTTGCTTATTCTTGTAGTAGCCAGTCATGCTGACATTTTTGTTTGGTGTTTTTCCTGATGATCTTTCTTTGAAGATGTATTGTCTGTTGCTCTAGCTGTTCCAGGCTGGTGTGCTTGTCCTTGCTAGTGGGAATGTCCCACCTCATAGGTTCTGGATGGGACTCAGGATTCCACCTAAGGTCCTATACTCTGCAAAGGCTTTGTAAGAGGCCTATTTCACTCGGCAAGTTCTAGAACCCCTTTTAGGTATTCCAATCAGTTACAGGCTGAAGGCGGGCTTACAAGTTTTCTGTAATCATGTTTCCTAACATTCCTTTTTATCCCACTCAAGTGTCTATTTTACAATAGTAGACAAGGGAAACCAATGTTCATAAGACAGTCAAGCATTTTAGTATTATTTCCCCTCTTCAGACTATGCCTTGATCCCTGTATCACAGAGCCCTGTTGTTCCAAGGTTGAACATGCCTTACTATTTACCTTTATTCAGTTTGGGTCATGCAGACCTGTCTCAGTGTTCCCCCGTCTACCTTGTTCTTCCTCTCTCCTCGCCTATCATGTGTATTGCCCTCTCCAACATCTGAACTTTGATGTATCTACCTCCTACCCTGTGCTCTACTGTCCCCTCCCTTCACCCACCCTACCCATCTTTTTTTCCTTTTAGTATGGGTATCTTTTCTTA